AAGGAGCGCCACCTTTTTGAGTCAGGCAGGCTAGGCCCCGTGAATCTAGCCAGCTCATATGAATCGAGTGACATTATGGGCGACCCTAGCACCGCCTCACACGCAGACGAGTCCTTGCGTCAGTTAGCTGCGCGCTTCGTTACTTCCTTCAGTTCACGGCAAATCCCGAGCCGCCTCGAAACACATCTCGACACTACATATTCGTTTCGCATTTCCACTCTTCTCCATCACTTGAACCGGTCTCATCCGATAAGTTCATATCGCAATATTACTACCAGCTATCCAGCTTGAGACCAAAAGTTAGCAATGAAGGTGCTTCGCGCTTTCCTGCTGCTGCTCTGTGCGCTCGCGGTTGCGCACCTGGCGGCCGCGGCGGAGTTCAACCCCGCTCTCGCTACTCTCGCCGCAAGCCCCGACGACAGCCTCCTCGCCACGGGCAAAGCGCTCGCAGATGACGCAAGCGAGGACGCGGATGTGCTTATAACGAACCGCGCTCTTGCGGAGGAGGGCGAAGAGTCGCGCCACAATGGCGCTGTTCGCGTGCTGACGGAGGTCGACCTGCTCTCCCTGCTGGCGGAGGGGGACGCTTATGCTGACGTGGCGGACTCGCGGAGGAGCCTGAAGAAGAGGGGGAAGAAATGCAAGAAGGGGAAGAAGGGGAAGAAATGCAGGAAGGGGAAGAAGGGGAAAAAGAATGGCGGCGCGGTAGCAGCACCCGGTGGGGCGGGGGCGGCACCTGGTGGGGCGGCACCTGAGGAGGTGGCACCTGAGGGAGCGGCACCTGGTGGTGCCGACGCTGGCGGGGGTTCAGTTGCGGCTGCGCGCAGCATGGCGGAGGTCGACATGCCCTCCCAGATTGAGGAGGGAGATGCTGATGCTGACGTGGCAGACATTCGCAGGAGCCTGAAGAAGAAGGGGAAGAAATGCAAGAAGGGGAAGAAGGGGAAGAAATGCAGGAAGGGGAAGAAGGGGAAAAAGAATGGCGGCGCGGTAGCAGCACCCGGTGGGGCGGGGGCGGCACCTGGTGGGGCGGCACCTGAGGGGGCGGCACCTGAGGGAGCGGCACCTGGTGGTGCCGACGCTGGCGGGGGTTCAGGTGCGGCTGCGCGCAGCATGGCGGAGGTCGACATGCCCTCCCAGATTGAGGAGGGAGATGCTGATGCTGACGTGGCAGACATTCGCAGGAGCCTGAAGAAGAAGGGGAAGAAATGCAAGAAGGGGCAGAAGGGGAAGAAATGCTGGAAGGGGAAGAAGGGGAAGGAACCCAAGAAGGGCATGGATGGGCCTCCTGCCGCTGCTGGCGCTGATTCAGCCGCACCGAGTGGGGGCGAGGAGGCGGGGTCTGATGGCGCGGCTGCTCGCAGCATGGCCGAGGTCGACCTGCCCTCCCCGCTGGCGGAAGGCGATGAGGATGCTGATGGCGATGCTGACGTGGCGGATGTGCGTAGGAGCCTGAAGGAGGGAAAGAAGGGAAAGAAAGGGAAGAGGGGGAAGAAGGGCAATAAGCACGGGAAGCATGGGAAGCATGGGAAGCATGGGAACGGAGAGAAGCACGAGAAGGAAGGGAAGCATGAGGAGGGAGAGAAGCACGAGAAGGGCGAGAAAGCAGAATGAAATCGGGGCAGCAGCAGCTTGTGGGGCCCCGTCCGGTGGGAGAGAAGCATGAGAAGGGCGAGAAAGCAGAATGAAATCGGGGCAGCAGCAGCTTGTGGGGCCCCGTCCGGTTCCAGCGCTGGAGCTGGTGCATGTGAGGGCTTTGGTTTTGCAGGGTTTAGTCAGTCTTTAACTGGTGGGATTTGGGATGGGGGGTCTAGTGGGTGCGTAGACTGCAGGCTGGTTTGTTTGAATGTGGTCATGTTTTTAAGCATTGGACTTCTTGAGATGGCTGGACTAAGACTTGAAACCTTATCCTCCTTGGATGGGGTGGTTTGTGCCATGATCAGGGTGAGGCCTACAATCTAACCTAGGTGAAAGTACCCTACGGTTACATGAGACTTCATAACGGAAAGATCTGTGAACGAGTTTGGGTCGTCATTCTGATGACGGGTTATCTCTCCTTAGAAGCATATCAACCCCCTTGACCAGTTGCCTTATTTCCCTTGATAGTCCCTTGATGAGTATTAGTTACTCTGCGCACTCTTCGTGGCTGTATCGAGACTGCTGCTGCCGAGGGAATTTTTATTTCCCACAACGACAATCGATTACGTTCCGTTGTGAGTTTCGTCTCTCCATGTGCGTGCGATTCGGCCCCTGCACCACGATTTCAGTTGGTGAGCAGATTTTGAATTTCCGCCACTCCATCAGTTGAATCTGGATTCCAGCATACCTCCGTTCCGTTCCGTTTCAACGGTTGGGGTGGGGATATGCGCACTCCCTGGAGTGACCTCGTCACAGCTCTGTACAAACAGGTATTTCTGATACGAGCGCGGACATCGCTTTCCGTCCAGCGTGCATAGACAAAAGATATGCCAAGACAAGAGTCTTATAGGTCAAGCGCGTCCTTAGACAGGCTATCAAGAGCCAGGTAACGCATACGAGCGTGATGGCGTCATCGCGGAAAAGGGAAATTGCGATTCTGGGGGTCCGAAGGTTTTTCTGCAAAAAGTGTGCGGTTATGTTGCGCCAAGTATCCAGAAAACGACGACCCCAAAAAGCAACTCTGAATACTCCTTTTGCGAAAGCGAATACCAGAGCCAAAAGTTCACTCGAAAGTAACGTTAGGATCGCAGATTTGGTTTCGAGCGGTCAAGATGGATTAAAAGCGGTTACATCTTTTGTTTGTTTTCACGAAACCTAACGAGAATGTGAGGGTGGATACAACGATTTCGTGAATATGAGTTTCATTTTACACACAATTGGATTGTACACGTGGTCACAACACATTCGCGTTCTTCAAAACTGCATACCAACAACCAAACCTAAACCACACACGCACACCTGGTTGGACCTAAAGGGTGACGAATGATCGCAGAAAAATCCCATTCAGTCAATCATTGTTGCTGCTGTGTCAAATCAGGGAATCACCACTATCTGGTATCTCTAACCCAAGCGAACTTCTTCCTCATCCTCCTCACAACTCTACTCCGCCCTTGCAAATACCTTCATCAACCTTCAGTTTACATATTTTCTGTTCACAACTTCGTGTTCAATGTTCACCTAGTGCTTAGACTCCTATCGCTCACGATCTCCTGGGGCACCATCAGTCAAGTTTGTATTCATTTCAATACAGAGGCCATGTTCATATCAATTTCTTCGATCACACCCATATTCGTCCGTATCATACGTCATAGCCTCTACCTGGACTTCTTCCCTACCCTCGCAACCTCCCATTCCCGTTTGCAGATCAACGGTTTAGGGAAGAAGGGTAAGAAGGGGAAAAAAGGGAAGAAGGGGAAGAAGGGGAAGAAGGGGAAGAAGGGGAAGAAAGGGAAGGGCAAGAAGGGCAAGCAGGGGAAGAAGGGGAAGAAGGCAAAGAAGGCCCTGAAGGCGAAGGCAAAGAAGCTGAGGAAGCAGGCTAAGGCGCTCATCGCCAAGGTTAAGGCGCTCGAGAAGAAGGCCAAGTAGTGGCGCGAACTGGAAACGAAGGGAAATCAGCGTTCTTGGGGAATGGGAATAAAGGGAGAAGTTGAGGATGCTGGGAAGGAGATGAGAATAAAGATTAGTTTTCTCGTGGGTTGGGGCGAATGGGTGCAAGTGGGTTAGATTTACAGGGGTGGGACGGCATGCATTGCCGTAAGTGATCTCTGTGAGATGTTCGCCAAAGGGGGTTTCTGGTCTTGAGGGACATTGCCTCCTTCACTCGACTCGCTAAATTAAGTCTTGAGGGTTTCTAGTCTTTCACCTACGACAAGAGTACTTCAAGATTTCACAAATATCTGGTCCCTGCCAGGCCGGGCCCTCTCGTACGGCCCTCTTCTTTCTTTATGAGAATACTCTGGCTAATCACACGTACACAAGTCTGAAAATCGGACAAAGCAGACTAAAACGATTGAAATCTGAGCCCCTGGATCCAGCAGCAACCTATCAAGCCTGTGAACACCCATCTTATTCAGCTGATGACAAGAGGAATAGCAGCTGCAGAAAAGGCACCTAAACCAGCACAGAATACTTGAAACTTACTTTCTTCACCGGATCTTTCACCATACCACAGAAAGAAAACCATTTCTTTAAAACAATAGCATGTCGTCTGACAACTAAGGGCTGACGTGACGGAAACAGGGTTGATTGAGCACCATATATGCTCACCATCCGTGGCAGAACATTCTCATGTAAGCAACTACGGTATTTCTGCTCCGTAAGGTTGCTGTCTGGCACACTTACAAAAAGACATGGTACGGTACCGCAGGCCTGGCCTGGCAAACAGGGTGATTTGATGCAACAGGCTTGGATCGAGAGCACTGAGAAGCATGAAAGCAACCAGCAGAGCGGAGAAAGGACGACACGGCAAAGGCATGCGATGCGAAGTGAGCAAGAGTTTGAATTGAGCGTGAGAAGGCCGGCCGGCAGCCAAACCAGGTCTGGCTCATCAGGTGGTGATCTTGGCCCCAGGCGTCCCTGGCTTGACGGGGCGATGGGGCCTTGGTGCTGGTGCGCACGGGGTGAGGGGCGAGGGGCGAGGGAAGAAGGGAGAGGGGCGAGGGGAGAAGGGAGAGGGAGAGGGAGAGGGAGAAGGGAGAGGGGAGAGGGGAGAAGGGAGAGGGGAGAGGGGAGAGGGGAGAGGGGAGAGGGGAGAGGGGAGAGGGGAGAGGGGAGAGGGGAGAGGGGAGAGGGGAGAGGGAGATGGGAAAAGGGCGATGAAGATGAAAGGCGTGTGCAAGCGGGACAGCATTGTGTTTGCAAGAAGGGAAATTGGTTGGTGGGATGGGAGAGAAACTGAGGGAAGGGCGGAATCAGTCACGATCAGTGGGTGGGGAAGCAGCAGCGGGTGGTGGGTGAGGAGCAGGGCCAGAGTGGTGACAGACCGTTGGGGTTGCCTTGCTCGTAGAATCGCCGGAAGAGGTCTACAGCCTCGCTGGCCAGTATGCCCCCCTCGCACTGCAGTAGCTCTGCTCCATGCGCTCCTGTACTGCTGGTGAGCGGGGGGAAGGGGAAGGGAAGAGGGGAGGAGAGTAGGCGCGGAGGGTAGGAGGAGGGGAGGGTATGAGGGGAGAAGCGGGAGGAAACGGAAGTCCTGATAGGACTGAAAGGTGGCACAGGAATGGAGCAAAACCAGCACGCAACAGGAATGCTGACAGTGCAGGGAGTAGTGGCGCGAGTGGGAGTGATGATAGCAGAGTGATGATAGCAGTAAGAGGGGTAGCGTGACCGTGGGGAGAGTGAGAAAGAGGGGTCTGTTGGCAGCAGTATGTGAGGGAAGGGCGAGGAAAGGCAGGGCGAGGAGAGGAAGAACAGAGAAGATCGGATCAATCACATGCAGTCAGCCCCTTGCATGAGTTGGCGATTATCAACTTTGATGCATGGAGATCAGATCAACTCAGGCACGGAGAAGATCAGATCAATCATCAAAATTGATCACCACATGCAGTCAGCTCCTTGCATGAGTTGGTGCGGGAAAGAAAAACGTAAAGCGGAGGCGGGAGTGGGTTGCGGAAGGGGGAGAGCAGGCAGAGATTGCAGCAGAGCATACAAGGGCGGGCAGGGGCGGCATCCTTTGGCGTGTACTGAGAGCACGGATCCGCAGCCGCCGAAGCGGTCGTTGGGACAGCCGTAGAACACACGGGTGAGACCTGGGGGCGGAGGGGGGAAGAGGGGAAGGGGGGGATGGGGGGGGGGAAGTGGGGAAGGGGGGGAGAGGGGGAGGGGGGGTAGAGGGGAAGGTGGGGAGGGGGGGAGGGGGGGAAGTGGGGAGGGGAGGAGGGGAAGAAACACGCCGTGAGGAAGGGAGTTGGAACACTGAAGCTTCCAAAGAATGGAAGATGATATGGACGCATGCTGGTATGCAGAAATTCACTGACGATACGAGTGAAATGGGGGAACGCAAAGGGGTGTTGAGAGGTGCGGTTGGGTGAGCAGGAACAAGGTGGGGGAGAAAGGGCGGTTGAGAGAGGTGGAAAGCACAGGCGGAGGAGGGAAAAGGGGTGGAATGGGGAGGATGGGGGACGATGGGAGACGGATGCGAGCAGGGAGGAGGGTGGGAATGAGGGAAAATGGGAGGAAAAGGAGGAGGACGAATGGGACGTGTTTTGAGTCGACTCAAAACACCAAGGGAGGAAAAGGAGGAGGAGGAATGGGATGAGGTGGAGGGGGAGGATGCAGGAAAAGAGGCTGTGAGACAGCAGGGGGAGTGGAAAGGGGAAGAGAAAGGAAGAAAAAGGAGCGCATCTTTTGGAGGAAAACAGGGATGTGATGCAAGCAATGGGTGATTGCTGGCTCTAAGGCGCCAGCTACTTGACATGCTGCCTGCCTATCTCACCCATCCCACCACTCCAACCCATCTCACCCATCCTACCCATCGCACCCATCCCACCCCTCCACATCCTCCCACCCCACCTGCCCATCCCTCCCTCTCTCACCCATCGTACCTCCCCCACCACTCCAGCCCCTCCCACCCCACCCTTCCCACCCATCCCACCCCTCCCACCCTTTCCCACTCTTCCCACCCCTCTCACCCCCAAGGTGCAAAAAAACGACGTTTTTTTTACATTTTGATCGTAAAATACCGTATCGTAAGAAACGATCGTAAAATACGATAAAAAACGGTTTTTGAAAATAAATACTTTTGGTGCAAAAAAACCTTCGTTTTTTTCAGTAAAAAGACCAAAACTGCTGCTGAAACAAGGGGATTGACTGGTGCACAGATTCTGGAGCGTGACTCGTGCTGGGCAGAGACGGTGCCGCTGGCGGTGCACAAGGCGTAGCTAAGGACGACTTCAGAAAGTCGAGGCCCGTCGCCATGTCGCCTAAACGGCGACGACCTACATTGTCGTCGTCGTCCAGCTCGTCCGCAGCAGTGTCCGTGGCAGCCATTGAGTCTGCCGAGCTGTGTTTTGCTAGGTTGGGAGAAACTGCCTGACACGAGGGATCAGGCAGTAGTAACAGGGGATGGCAAAGATGTGAGGGAGAGCCAGGCGACAGAGGGAATTGTTGGAACGGTCACGCTGGGTGCGTTGAGGAGGTCCCCTTTTCGGACCTCCTCAAGATGAAACCCTCACTGCTCCCTGCATGTACGTCACCTGGTCGTGTATGCAGCACAGGTGGGGTGGGGTGAATGGTTCTGGTGTCGTGCGTGGCGCAGCGCGCTGCGAGCTATGCGTTGGCAAGGAATGTTGCCAACGCTGGTTGCTGCACAGTCCCGATTGGTTGGAAATGTCGCTGATGGCATCTTTGCTGTACCAACGCGACAGAGCGGTGCCGCGGTGGGGAAATACAATTTACCAGCCGTGATTGACGGTGTTATACCTACACACCGCCTTGCTGGCCAGAATCCCCGTAAGCCCGGTTTCAGAGTGCACCCCCGATAGTACACTGAGGCACAGCGTACACTCAAACTTCAAGGCTGTAAAAACAGAGAAGGCATAAACAAATACTCTGGAAAATCCGCCAACATACATATAAAAAAACTTCGACTTCAGAGGAGTGTATAAAAAAAAGTATGATCTAACGCTGAATCTGTGTAAAAAGTCTGATACCTAGGGCCCTACTATCAAGCCTATGAACACCCATCTTGTTCAGCTGATGACAAAAGGAGGAATAGCAGCTGCAGAAAAGGCACCTAAACCAGCACAGAATACTTGAAACTTACTTTCTTCACCGGATCTTTCACCATACCACAGAAAGAAAACCATTTCTTTAAAACAACAGCATGTCTGACAACAAAGGGCTGACGTGACGGAAACAGGGTTAATTGAGCACCATATATGCTCACCATCCGTGGCAGAACATTCTCATGTCAGCAACTACGGTATTTCTGCTCCGTAAGGTTGCTGTCTGGAACACTTACAAAAAGACATGGTACGGTACCATAGGCCTGGCCTGGCAAACAGGGTGATTTGATGCAACAGGCTTGGATCGCGAGCACTGAGCAGCATGAAAGCAACCAGCAGAGCGGAGAAAGGACGACACGGCAAAGGCATGCGATGCGAAGTGAGCAAGAGTTTGAATTGAGCGTGAGAAGGCCGGCCGGCAGCCAAACCAGGTCTGGCTCATCAGGTTGTGATCTTGGCCCCAGGCGTCCCGGGCTTGACGGGGCGATGGGGCCTTGGTGCTGGTGCGCACGGGGTGAGGGGCGAGGGGCGAGGGGAGAAGGGAGAGGGGCGAGGGGAGAAGGGAGAGGGGAGAGGGGAGAAGGGAGAGGGGAGAGGGGAGAGGGGAGAGGGGAGAGGGGAGAGGGGAGAGGGGAGAGGGGAGAGGGGAGAGGGAGAGGGGAAAAGGGCGATGAAGCTGAAAGGCGTGTGCAAGCGGGACAGCATTGTGTTTGCAAGGAGGGAAATTGGTTGGTGGGATGGGAGAGAAACTGAGGGAAGGGCGGAATCAGTCACGATCAGTGGGTGGGGAAGCAGCAGCGGGCGGTGGGTGAGGAGCAGGGCCAGAGTGGTGACAGACCGTTGGGGTTGCCTTGCTCGTAGAATCGCCGGAAGAGGTCTACAGCCTCGCTGGCCAGTATGCCCCCCTCGCACTGCAGTAGCTCTGCTCCCTGCGCTCCTGTACTGCTGGTGAGCGGGGGGAAGGGGAAGGGAAGAGGGGAGGAGAGTAGGCGCAGAGGGTAGGAGGAGGGGAGGGTATGAGGGGAGAAGCGGGAGGAAACGGAAGTGCTGATAGGACTGAAAGGTGGCACATGAATGGAGCAAAACCAGCACGCAACAGGAGTGCTGGCAGTGCAGGGAGTAGTGGCGCGAGTGGGAGTGATGATAGCAGAGTGATGATAGCAGAGTGATGATAGCAGTAAGAGGGGTAGCGTGACCGTGGGGAGAGTGAGAAAGAGGGGTCTGTTGGCAGCAGTATGTGAGGGAAGGGCGAGGAAAGGCAGGGCGAGGAGAGGAAGAACGGAGAAGATCAGATCAATCACATGCAGTCAGCCCCTTGCATGAGTTGGCGATTATCAACTTTGACGCATGGAGATCAGATCAACTCAGGCATGGAGAAGATCAGATCAACTCAGGCACGGAGAGGAGGAGAGCAGCGCGGAGAGGGGGGCAGGTGCAATAGCGGAGAGGAGCGGAGCGCGGCGAGTGCCACGTCATGCACCTGCGCGATGGCGAGGCGCATGAAGTGGACCCTCCTCTCGGCCTCCGAGGTGAACAGCGCGAATGCCGCCGCGTCCCCCGCCATGGCGCAAGAGGAAGGCCGCCTGTGATTGGATCGAGTGGCAAAGCGAGAGTGATATCCGAGGGAATGGGGGGGTGAACAAGTGCTAACGACTTTTGTTCATACACATTTGTGGCTTCAAAATCTAGGTTATTTTTTATGAGTTACAAAAGGGAGAGCGAACAACACAGCTGTGACTGAATGAATCGACACAGAAGTGAAGCCTAGGAAGTAATAAGATGGGGGCGAGGTTCGGTACAGATTAGTCAGCTAGGTCCAAAGGCAACGCGCGGTATTTTCGAAGTCGGGCAAGTACTTTCCAAGAGTTAGGGTTGGCCTCGAGTTGCGCGAGTGCAGTGTTTGTTTGTTCAAGATTTTCACCTCTGAGCAACCTCGAGTTAGGGTTGGTGTAAGGAAAATCACTTTTCCTTACTTCGCATCCCTGCTCAACGCGTACATCACTATAGCACCTCAGTCAGCACCGTTACCACTCGCGATCCTCGCATCGGCAAACACCCCGCCATTTTCGCACATCGCACCCCGACCTCACGGCTCCGCTGGTAACCCGCGCTCCGGGCCTCCGCTTCGACACTTTCCCAACCTCAGTCCCAGGCTCGCCGCGCGACAACCTCAGTCCATTACCGTTACCATTGTAGTTTTGCTATATATTCTTCGCTCATGCCTTCGCTGATTGTATTCTTGCTTCGATAGTGCAATTCTCGTTCGATCACTCAATTGCACTCGTAACACTTGGTATTCAGAGCCTACGATCTCATCTCGGACCGCATCCACACCTTCGCTTCCCCACTATCTCAATTTTTTGTGGGGGGTAGACGTCTCTCAGCGATACAGCACCGCCGCTCGTAGTGCTCTCTTGTAAGCACGCACGACCACGACCGAGGCTCTCGCTGAGCTTGCCCGACACCCCCGCCATGGCCGATTTCACGCTCGCCACATTAACGCAGGAGCAACCTGATTGGAAGATTCGGCGCTCGAAATCGCGACGCTCACGGCGGAATATGACTCCGCCCGTCAACAGTCCACGATGAACATTCCGGCGACATCACACGCACCAACAAATGCATCTGCACATTCGGACGAGCCGATCATCATATCGTCCGGCACACCAACACAACGCGACAGCATGGGACAACGCTCAGGCGCAGCCAGTGACGGCGCCGCCCAGCCGATGCCTGGCATGGGAGGAGGCAGGATCGCACCAAGCCCGCGGGAGCCCCGGGAAGCCCGTCGGCACGTGGAATTTGCGGCGACAAGTGGCGAACAGGCCATCATGGCACCAATGCCGCTCAAGCCGCAACGCCCGCCCTGCTTTGACCCAAGCCAACGCGGAGGTCCGACGGTTCAATCATGGGTCTTCACGAAGAACGTCTTCTTCGACGCAAACTACGTCGATTCGGACGCTGTGAAGATCCGGTATGCAGTTTCACTGCTAAGGGGCCCCGCCATGGACTAGTGGCGAGTCATCGTGACATTGCCACGTGCCTACGAGCCACCGTCGCACGAGGAAGGGCCCACGGGTCCAGCTGTCACCTGGAGTTCGTTCTGCGAGACCGCCCAATACAGCACGTGGGATGCGTGGTGCGCAGGGCTTCGGGCGCGCTTCGAGCCGATCGCGGCTTCAATTTTGGCGCGTCAGAGATTGCGCACTTGGCGCTAGCTCGGGTCAGTTCAAGATTATACAAGCGGTTTTCTCGCACTTTGCGAGCAGGGCGGCTACATGCACGAAGCGGAGCGGGTGGACCGTTACGTCGGAGGGCTGAAGCCGGATATCTCGCACGAAATAATGCTACGCGGACTCTCTAACTTCAACGAGATTCTCGCGCTCGCCGAGAAAATCGACATTCTACGCCGACCGAGACCGGGGTCCTATCACGGACATCGCCCTCGGGGACCGACCGAGCACGCCACTGTACACGCCGTTTCAACGAAGGCAACTGCCGCACCGTTTAAGGGGCGCTGCTTTGCATCGCAAGAGCGAATGCCCAGAGGAGCTGAGGCGCCGCGGAGCAGAGCAGGGGAGAGAGTCTCAGAGGCAGGGAAACGCCAGCAGTCAGTAGAAGTTGGGCCAACTACTGACGAGACTGCCTGCTCGCCCAACCACACCGACCCTCACCGAGTCACAGTACCGATTCACGCCATCGATCGGGCTCGGATGAATAAGGAGGGTACAGCGACGGATTGCCCAGTACTGATCTACGGGAAAATACAGGGAGCAGCAGTGAAGATTTTTATTGACGGAGGAGCAAGTCACAGCTTAGTTAATACAGCGACCGCACGGAAATTACAATTAATACTTAACCGATGCTTACCTGAGATAGATGCACGCTTAGTCGACGGTACGCCACTGGCCATACGGGAAAAGGTGGAGTGAGTAAAAGTCCGTCGCGGAGGGAACTTCAGGTTTACACAGGAAATGCTCGCAACGACACTGGATGGGCACGCCATTTTATTGGGACGTGATTAGCTGCGACGGTATAACCCGCGAATTGACTGGACGATGGGTAGCTGCACAGTGCGAAGTAGTGGTAACTGGGTCGTCCTACCTTGCTGGCAGCCACCCGAGTCTTCAACGGTCCAAGTCAACGCCATCACGATGAAACGGGCTGTCGCTGCTGGAGCTGACGTGTACGCAGTGGATATAGCATTAGTGGGAGAAGAGGAGCAGCCGAGCGATTTTCAGAAACTGTTGGCAACCGTACCGCCTGAACTTCACGAACTATTGAAACGATACCCGGGTATTTTTCCAGATGACTTACCGCAAGGGCTGCCACCTCAGCAGGCGCATGACCATAGGATCGAGTTAGAACCGGGGGCACAGCCATCTGTATAGTGCCAGTTCAGACTAACACAGCCCGAGCTCGACGAACTAAGGAAGTAGTTAGATTATCTGTTAGAGAAGCAGTTTATCCGACCGAGCTCGTCACCGTTCGCCGCACCGATACTGTTCACACCGAAAAAGACGGAGGGTTTCGCATGTGCATAGACTACCGAGCGCTTAACAGGGTAACCGTCAAATCGCGGTACCCCATCCCCCGCGCCGACGAACTTATCTACCAGCTGCGAATAGCACGGGTATTTTCGAAAATAGACTTACGAGGAGGTTACCATCAGATTCGGGTCGAACCATCGGACTGCGCCAAGACAGCATTTAGGACTAGGTACGGGTCATTCGAGTACACGGTGATGCCTTTTGGGCTGACCAACGCGCCCGCAACATTTCAGATGACCATGAACGAGGCGTTTAGGCCACTTTTAGATAAATGCGTTATACTTTACCTCTACGACATTCTCGTTTACAGTCGGGACCAGCAGCAGCACTTAGTAGATCTCGAAGCAGTTTTTAAAATTTTAGAAGAACATCGGTTACTCACCAAGGGCTCCAAGTGCGAGTTTTTTCGGGACAGGCTAGAATTTTTAGGACACATTATTTCGGAGGCTGGAGTTGAAATCGACCTTAAGAAGCTGGATACCGTAAAAGCGTGGCATTCCCCGATGAACATCACGGAATTGCATAGTTTTTTAGGCTTCGTTAATTACGTTCGTCGGTTCGTCCCCGACATGGCACGCTTAACAGCCCCGCTCACCGAATTACTGCGCAAGGGGGTCGTTTTTATGTGGGGGGAGAAAGAGCATGCTGCCTTCTCTGCCCTGAAACATGTTCTCTGTTCACCACCCGTCCTACGCATCGCTGACCCACATCGCCCCTTCGAAGTTGTTACAGACGCGAGCGACATCGCCATCGGAGCCGTACTTTTACAGGACTTCGGCAACGGCCTCCTGCCCATCGCCTACGAATCACAAAAACTGTATCCGCTTGAACGAAATTACCCGATACACGACCGTCGGGGTGCATGCATTCAAAGTATGGCGCTGCTACTTGACCGGCACAGACGTGACAGTACGGACAGACCATCGATCCCTACAATACCTCCGTGCACAGCCCCACCTCAACCCACGACAGATTCGGTGGCTCGATTTCCTCGAGTCAAATTTCCACTACACAGTCACCTAAAAAAAAGGAGCCTCGAATATCGCCGACGCACTAACCCGCCCCACTACCCTGATCCATGCGATACTACTCGCCCAGACCAGCCCGCTACTGACAGGACTATTTACCCACGGATATCAAACAGACCCATTCTTCACAGGAGGAAACTCGCAGCAATTCGCAGCAGCCAAGGGAGTCTATTACGTAAAAGCTGGGACCGACCGCATGTGGGTACCAGGGTACACACTACTACGGGAATAACTGTTACAGGAGGCACACGACGGAGTTACCTCGGGACATTTCGGAGTAGAAAAAACACGGCAGCAGCAGGAGCGGTACTATTACTGGCCGGAAATGTTGACCGACGTGCAACGACACGTGGCATCGTGTCCCACTTGCCAGCTCATGAAGTCAACCCGGAAGCGGCCGGCGGGACAATTGCAACCAATCCCTCCTCCAGAGCGTGCTTGGCAGCAGGTGACGATGGACTTCAGCACGGGGTTACCGGCTGGGGCGAGTGGGAATGAAGTGATCCTGGTCGTCGTCGATCGACTGACGAAAATGGCACACTTCGCAGCCTGCAAGAAATCAATCACAGCCGAGGAAACAACCCGACTCTTCATCACCACCGTCGTGCGACTGCACGGGATACCAGCATCAATCATCAGCGACAGGGACACGAAGTTTACTAGCAATTTCTGGCGGAACCTGTGGCAGCAGTTCGGCACGCGACTACAGTTCAGTTCATCGTATCACCCCGAAACCGATGGACAGACCGAACGGACAAACCAGACCATGGAACAGCTCATTAGGGCCACGTGGGAACAGCAACTGCCACTCATCGAATTCGCATACAACAACGCCCCATCCGCTACGACTCAACAGTCACCTTTTTACCTGAACTACGGACAAGACCCAACAATACCC